ACTGTTTTTGTAATCAAACCAAAGCAGCTTCAGAAGACTTTCATAATAGCATATGATTTGCACTGACTACGTTTTGTTATTTTAGCACTATTATTCACTATTATAATTTTTCTAATAAAATAATTTTTTTGCTTTTAATAAATATTTTAAATAATATATAATAATAATTCCAGTTTTCATGCCAATTTTAGTTTAGATTTGAGTCATTTTCTTTTGTGCATTTGTATTTTTTTCTTAGTTTTTGTTCTTTTTAAATATTACTATTTATGTTTACATGCAAATTAAAAATGTACTTCAAATTAACCTTATTTCAGTAAGTTGCCAAGGCACAATGTGTTGTTTGTTTTTTTATTTATTTATCTATCATCTATATCATGATATTTTATTTGACTGTATTTATGGACTGCCCATGTTCCCATGTACCTTATGTAGCCCTGCCCCTTTTCAGAAGATTCACATGATAACTTTTGTTAACTCTACATTAAGTAAATCCACTTCACCGTTTAATTACTCTTCAACAGTTATAGTTAAAAAATGAAGTTCAAAGACAAAATTCTAAAGATGGCTGTGCGCTTGTTTCTCTGACGCACGAGGTCTATAGAGATGAGCAGACGAGCGATAAGAGACGTTTTCTTTTGTGTTCCATGGAAGAAAGAAAGTCACACAGGTCGGGAATAACATGAAGGTGATTAAGTGGTGACAGAACCTTCATTTTTGTTTGAATTACCCCTTTAACTCGGGCTAAACGAAGTCAGGCTGTGCTGCTTGGTTGGAATCATTTCTGTTGCATTTGTATTTCCGTTACAAGACTCTAACTGGTCCAATAAGGGCAGCTCAGCCTGACTCAATTTTCAGAACTCGATTTTAATGCATTGGAAGGTCCTCGTGAGAACAGAATATCTTTAATTCTATTCGAAAGCGGCTGTAATTGCTTGTTTTCCAGTCTCATTGCAAGCAGAACCTCAGATTCGTCCACCTGCGGTTTCTTGGTATAAGATGCACCTGTGACACTCGTTTTCACACACTCAAACTCAATTTTAAAAGTATTATCTCAGGACAAGGATGTCTTGTCATATACACACAAGCACACATGATAGCACACACAAGCACACCCAAAATCAATTTCAACGTGATTACTTTTTTATTTTTGCAGAGTACCCTTTCTATTTCATCTGATGCACTTACAATGAGACATCCATTCACACAAAGCCATTCTGAGAAGAATCCTTGAGCTCTGTGGATATGTCGTTCCTGTCTAAAGCAATCGAACTGAAAATAACACAAACGGCCTATCAAAAAACTACAAAAGTCTCTCACAGAAAATTACAGTTGTGCTCTCAGTTGAGCTACAGTGGTGACTATGATTATTTAATCATTATACAATGAATTTGTGATTAATAATGACAACAATAATACTTGATAATACTTGACTTGATCATTTTGTACTCCCCTTACACTCTTAAAAATAAAGGTGCTTCAAAAGGTTCTTCAAAGCCTATCAAAAAACTACAAAAGTCTCTCACAGAAAATTACAGTTGTGCTCTCAGTTGAGCTACAGTGGTGACTATGATTATTTCATCATTATACGATGAATTTGTGATTAATAATGACAACAATAATACTTGATAATACTTGACTTGATCATTTTGTACTCCCCTTATGGTTGGATACTCCACACACTGGATATCAGTAATGCCAAACGCCACTGGTTTTCATGTTAACACTCCATCATATTTGGTACTTTAACAGTGTTTTTATTTTACCATTTTTTATTTTATTTAAATTTTACAATCAATTCCTTGAATGTATCTATTAATGTCAGTTAATAGACCTGAGCTGACATGGACTAAAAATGAACAGTTGTATTTTTATTAGCTAACATTAACAAAAATGTATAAATACTGTAACAAACGTATTGCGCATTGTTAGTTAATGCAAAAAAAAAAAAGGAAAAAAAGCATTTTCTCAGAACTCAGAATATTTTCAAAGCATTTTCTCAGATATGAACTCAGAACTGCAAGATGTTAACTCGCAATTGCGAGTTTGTAACTAGATATAAACTTATTTATTATTCCATGGTGAAACAAAAAACAGAATTGCAAGATGTAAACACAAAATTCAGAGAAAAACAAAGTCAGAATTGAGATGTAAACCAAAAAGTGGATACTCCACACACTGGATATCAGTAATGCCAAACGCCACTGGTTTTCATGTTAACACTCCCATCATATTTGGTACTTTAACAGTGTTTTTATTTTACTATTTTTTATTTTATTTTAATTATACAATCAATTCCTTGAATGTATCTGTTAATGTCAGTTAATGGACCTGAGCTGACATGGACTAAAAATGAACAGTTGTATTTTTATTAGCTAACATTAACAAAAATGTATAAATACTGTAACAAACGTATTGCGCATTGTTAGTTAATGCAAAAAAAAAAAAGGAAAAAAAGCATTTTCTCAGAACTCAGAATATTTTCAAAGCATTTTCTCAGATATGAACTCAGAACTGCAAGATGTTAACTCGCAATTGCGAGTTTGTAACTAGATATAAACTTATTTATTATTCCATGGTGAAACAAAAAACAGAATTGCAAGATGTAAACACAAAATTCAGAGAAAAACAAAGTCAGAATTGAGATGTAAACCAAAAAGTTGTAAACCAAAATGCAAAGCAAAGCAAAAATAGGATTCTGCGTTAATATTTACCAATTCTGGTATCAATTTTTTTCTCTGAATTGTAAGAAAAAAAAACAGAATTGTGAGATAAAAAGTCGTAATTATCTTTTTTACTTTTATTTTTTTGTGGCAGAAATAGGCTTTCATAGAAACATTATTTATTGTGAAAAATGTATTTGTTTATTTATTTAATTTACTGTTTTTAAGACCAAATAATTACCTTGTTAAATGGTTTCACTAAGGGTGCTTTCACACCTGTAGATCGATTGCTTTGTTCCGAAACAGGGATTAAAATTATTACAATGTTGCTTTTTATTCTTGGTGCGGTTTGCTTTCACACAGCAAAGTTTCTAAATGGACCAAATTTGTTAATGCAAGTCACGTGTGAGTAAACTGTTCTCTCATTGGTCAAAGTTCCACGGTTTATTTTCCGGGATTCCACCAGCTGTCACGCATGTCATTCGTCAGGATGGAACGACAACAGCTTCGCGGGCTTATTGTTTATTTTTATTTTTTTTAGCTGTCCTTATATTAATTCATTTTGAGCAGGAGTCCAGGATTCATCGGGAAAACATAAAAAAAAATGCACATACTAGGAAGAAGAGCAATAAGACAGCATTATAAAATGAAAAAGTGCGCTTTTTTATTTTGAATGGCGAAGACGTGCTCACCCACAGACATTCACAGGTTCATTTTGAAGTATTAGCAAAACAACAAAGCTAATGCTTTTCACGGAACTTATGTAATTACCCATTATACATTGTGATATAGCCTGGTTCGGTGGTCCGTTAGATCGGATTGCTTTTTTACTACAACCAAACCGCTCCAGGGTTAGTTTTAAATCGAGCCGAGACCACCTCGTTCAGGCGATCTCGGACCGATTGTTTTGCTGCAGATCCGGGCACGACTGCCGTGTTCACATATGCCCAAACGAACCGAGCTAAGGGGGGAAACGCGCCAGGTTCCGAAACAAGGGGCCAGGTGTGAAAGCACCCTAATTGCTAGTAACATTGGCGAGAACCCCCCAGCTCCAATTCGCACAAATCCCATCCTGACTGGCTGGCTGGCAGGATCTTTCTGTCAGCCACTCTGACTCCAATCCAACCCCTCCCCAAAATTCCCAGCTGCTGCGCTCATCCCATATACAGAAGCATTCCTGCCCAGCTCACTTCCCATGCTTCCCAGTCATTTCCAGTTCTCATGCACATTCACACATTCAGTCCAGTCAGAGCAGAACTAGACTGACACGAGTATGACAAAGAGAGATTTTTGGTTTCACAACACGCTCATGCTAGGACCCAAATGGAGACGTTCCTTCACAAGAGTTTAGAGGCTTGGAGAGATTTTGCACCAAAGTGGCTGTCCTGGACTTACGGATAAGTGTAGTGTTCACATTTGCAGCTCCAGACCTTCTGTCTTCCCGATCCGGATTTAATCAGGCTGTTGTGGGCGACTGTGATCATCTCCAGCCTGTCACTGTATACTGTAAATCTGGGCTTTTATCAGATTACGATATGCATTTCATGTGACAAACTGTTTGTAAGCATCGTTATGGAATGAACATGCATTCACATCCTAAGGGTTGCTTTCTTAAATTCTCTCTCTCTCTCTCTCTTTCTCTCTCAAACTCTGTGTTACAGATACTGGGCAGTTGCTATGCAGGTTGCTAGGGTATTCTGATTGGTTGTGTGTGCTTTGCTATAGTGTTTTGTGTGTTTGCCTGATAGTAAGGCATATCTATGCATTTGTTATATCATTCTGAGTGGTTGCTATGCAGTTGCTATGGTTTTTCATGTGGTTGCCACGGGACAAGGCGTATCTATGCATTCATCTTAGTGTTCTGGGTGGTTGCTATGCAGTTGCTATGGTGTTTTTTGTGGCTGCCAGGTGTCAGGACATATCTGTGCATTTGCTATAGTGTTCTGAGTGGTTGCTATGCAGTTGCTAGGGCACTCTGAGTGGTTGCTGGTGTGTTGCTACGCAGTTGCTAGTGTTTTGCTATGCAGTTGCTAGGGCATTCTGAGTGGTGGATGGTGAGGTGCAGCGCAGTTGCTAGGGCACTCTGATTGATTGCTGGTGTTTTGCTACGCAGTTGCTAGTGTGTTGCTAGGGCATTCTGAGTGGTTGCTTGTGTGTTGCTACGCAGTTGCTAGGGCATTCTGAGTGGTTGCTAGTGTGTTGCTATGCAGTTGCTAGGGTATTCTGAGTGATTGTTAAACAGCATAAGCAATACTAATGAGAATGTTAGGTCTGATCAGATGAGCTCATCTTCATCCTGGTGTTTTTATGTCTCTCATCACGTGTTTTCTGTCCCATCAGCCACCAGTTCGGCACATCTGGAGGACCTGGCGTATCTGGATGAGCAGAGACACGCCCCCCTGCGCACCTCCCTGCGGATGTCCCGACAGAACACGGGCGCCGGTCGCTCCGGGCAGGACCTGCGAGGTGAGCGACGTCTCGTCCTGCACGTTCAACTGCTTAGCTTCTATTCACATCTGCCTGATGTTGTCCGTGAATGTCAGCTCACAGATATATTTGGTCAGAAGGCGTGCACAGATCAGCAGCTTCATTCTCTCATTGACTCTTTGCAGTGTGAGTGTTTGGACTGACAGCAGGGCTGCGTCCTCATCTACTCTCTGTCTCTGTGTGTCAGTGTCCACTGAGACGCTGCGTTTAGTATGGAGATATAATTGTTGCATAATTCCAAATAAATAGAATGAGATCCACAAATAAATCTTAGTTTCACAAACATGAATTAAATTCACAAATGAATAAAATGAGATTTCCAAATGAAAATCATATTCATAAATATATTTTTATGTCACAAACACAATTTAGCCTGGCATTCATTTGTGAATCGCGTTTTTTTTTCTTTTTTCTTTTTTTGTCATTTATTTATGACTGACAAATATGTATTGGTTTATGTTAAAATTGTCTAAAATGTCTAAATTATATGTAATACAAAAACAAATCTTACATTTAGTAAGACTAAATATTATATTTTATTTGATCTTGTTTTGTTTTGTTTTGAGTGCCAAACAGAGGTATTTTAGTTAACTAAACTAAAACCATAAAAAAACACAGTTTTGTTACGTGAAATAAAATAAATGTTCATTGAAATAAAACTAAAATAAAATAAAAATGAATAAAAACGATATAGACATGAACTGAAAACAAACAAAAAAACATCAAAATTACTAGAAAATTAACTTAAAAGAAAAAAAGAAAAACAAGTGTTAAATATTAATAAAAACTATAATAGTGTCTCAGTGATACTAAAATAACAGTGGTGCTACACATGCTCAGATGAAGGAAGCAGAAAGTGATTTCACACAGGCCTCTGCTGATGTCCACTGGGTGAGGACTCATCTGGACTCCTCCTTTATCTTCAGCAGATAATTAGGAGACCAGGGCCTTGGCGTGACCTCAAATCCTCAGTTTCCCCAGATGCTCACACACATACGCACAGACACACACGCACACACACACACACACACACACACACACACACACACACACACACACACACACACACACACACAAACTCACACACACACACACACAAACTCACACACACACATACGCACATACACACAAACACACAGACACGCACACACTCACTCACACTGCTTGCTCGGTGACGTTGGATGGTGTTACACCTGCTGGTCTGGTGTGCCGCTCTCACCTGGTGAATAATTAAAATAGATCTCACTGCATCCGGTTCGCAATCAGGAGAGAAGATGCCAAGGTGACTCTCATAATATGGCTTAATATTAACCAGCACCTCGAGGAACCGTCGTCCTCCTGACAGCCATTAACATTTGAAGTTAAACTCAAACCCAACATCCATTGCATGTTTTTGTCACAAAAATTAAATAAATAAATGAATGAATAAAATAAAAAAATATATTTAATTGCAATGGAATTAATGGAGCAACACAAACATAAAAACAATACATTTAAAAAGTTTTGAAAAAAATGTGTTGAAGTGATGTGTCCATTTTAGACTAGTGTGACAGAGTTGCAAAAACATCCAATATTTATAACTTCTATCAAGATCATGTAAAATCAGTTAACAGTAAATTTTGAAACTACCATTCAAAAGTTTGGTATCGGTAAGTTTAAAAAAAAATAAAATTTTAAAAGAAGACTCATCTGCTCACCTAGGCTGCATGTATTTGATCAAAAATACAGTAAAACAGTAATATTGTGAAATATTATTTCAATTTAAAATAACTGTTTTCTATTTGAGCATATTTTAAAATGTCATTTATTTCTGTGACGCAAAGCTGCATTTTTAAATTATTACTCCAGTCTTCAGTGTCACATGATCTTTTAGAAATCATTTTAATTTATATTATTATAATTGTTGAAAACTTTTAGTTTTCGCTGGATTCTTTGATGAATCAAAGGTTTGACAGAACAGCATTTATTTGAAATAGAAATCTTTTGTAACATTGTAATCATTTTGATCAATTTAATATGTCCTTGCTGAATAAAAGTATTAATTTCTTTAAAAAACAAAATCATATTGATCCCAAACATTTGAACGGATGCAGAAGAAAGAACTATTTCTTGAGCAGCAGATCAGCATATTATAGTGATTTCTGAAGATCATGTGACGCTGAAGACTGGAGGAATGATGCTGGAAATACAGCTTTGATCACAGCTATCAAATGCATTTTACGGTATATTACAATAGAAAACTGTTATTTTAAATTGCAATAATTTTTCACAATAATGCTGTTTTTACTGTATTTATAATCAAATAAATAAAACGTTTAATCGAATAAATGCAAGTAAATGCCTTGGTGAGCAGAAGAGACTCTTTCAAAAGCATTTTTTTTAAATCTTAATTATTCTAAACTTTTGACTGGTAGTGTAGAAGTCAGGGTCGTGTCAGTCTATCACTCTCACCATTTAAAAAAGCCTTATTTTACTTGCATTTGCCACTCAGAAAGTGTAGATTTTTGATCTTGAGATCTTTGGATCATGAAAGTGGTGCTTTTAATGCACAGATTTGACAGAAATGTACTTAGACAGTAATCACAATTGTGGGAAATGATGTGTTTCCTCTTTAACTGTCTCTCACATCCTCACCTGATGTCTTCACCCACTGCATATTTTATTTGGAGTGATGTGCTTTTTTCAGTGCAAGCTCTCTCTCTTTCTCCTGTCGCCTGTCTGTGTGTGTCTCAGCTTCCGCTAACAGTCATGCCTGGCAGTCTCAGTCACGTAAGTGTGGGATCTTACAAAGGCTGATCTCTGTCCCGTCTGTGCTGTCAAATGTCCCTTTGATAGCCGAGTAGCAGTAGTGGCCTGTGATCTTCTGGAATGACTGTATCATACTGTATTTTGTGATGTGGACAAATTAGTTGTGTGGTAGGTGTGGAAATGTGGGGCCCTATAAAATATTTTTTTTAATTCATAATTTATTTTCTGCTTGTTTTTCCCCCAAATTGTTTTCATATTTTTAAATTATTGTTTTGTTTTTGTTATACATTATGGGATTATATTATAATTTTGTGTGTCTGTATATATATATATATATATATATATGTAATTATAGTACTTGCCTATATTATATAATTGTATTTTTGTAAATACTAATTATAATAATAACTCATTAAAAATATTATAACATAATATAAATTAATATTAGAATATATATATATCATAATATAAAGTATTATTTATATTTACTTATATAAAAATACAGTCTGGTGTGCCGCTCTCACCTGGTGAATAATTAAAATAGATCTCACTGCATCCGGTTCGCAATCAGGAGAGAAGATGCCAAGGTGACTCTCATAATATGGCTTAATATTAACCAGCACCTCGAGGAACCGTCGTCCTCCTGACAGTCATTAACATTTGAAGTTAAACTCAAACCCAACATCCATTGCATGTTTTTGTCACAAAAATTAAATAAATAAATGAATGAATAAAATTAAAAAATATATTTAATTGCAATGGAATTAATGGAGCAACACAAACATAAAAACAATACATTTAAAAAGTTTTGAAAAAAATGTGTTGAAGTGATGTGTCCATTTTAGACTAGTGTGACAGAGTTGCAAAAACATCCAATATTTATAACTTCTATCAAGATCATGTAAAATCAGTTAACAGTACATTTTGAAACTACCATTCAAAATTTGGTATCGGTAAGTTTAAAAAAAATAAAATTTTAAAAGAAGACTCATCTGCTCACCTAGGCTGCATGTATTTGATCAAAAATACAGTAAAACAGTAATATTGTGAAATATTATTTCAATTTAAAATAACTGTTTTCTATTTGAGCATATTTTAAAATGTCATTTATTTCTGTGACGCAAGGCTGCATTTTTAAATCATTACTCCAGTCTTCAGTGTCACATGATCTTTTAGAAATCATTTTAATTTATATTATTATAATTGTTGAAAACTTTTAGTTTTCGCTGGATTCTTTGATGAATCAAAGGTTTGACAGAATCTAAATAATCTATCTTAAATGTATATGTATAATTAATATATTTTACATATATAAAAATACACATAATATAATAAATTATTTAATCTAAATAATCTATCTTAAATGTATATGTATAATTAATATATTTTACATATATAAAAATACACATAATATAATAAATTATTTAATCTAAATAATCTATCTTAAATGTATATGTATAATTAATAATGTAAATAAATAAAATGAACATATATATATATATATATATATATATATATATATACATTTATTTTTATTTGTAATAATGATGAACTATAATAATGTAATAATAATGAACTAATGAACTATTCTATCCTAATGACATTTTATCATCACAAAGTGTCTAATTTAATTAATAAAGCATTAACAATTTAGTAATTTTTGTTTAGTGTTTAGTCAAAAAAGTTCATATCAATACAACAACTAATAAAATAAATTTGCATTATTTTTTATAAAGTTTGAATTGATTCTTCAATTCTGCCTTAAATCATAGGGCCCTAGATATGTGTCTTTCTGTGAGCGTATGTGTCTTTTGATAGTTTTTTTGTTTACATTTTAGGTTATTTCTGCGTGTTTGTAATATTTTAGAGGGTGCATCTGAATATGTTTCATACACATTCATATTTTTGATACTTTTTGTCCTTTCCCAGTGCGATTCGCTCCGTACAGACTGCAGGACATCGCACTAAAGCCGCTGCTTTTCGAGGTGCCCAGCATCACCATGGACTCTGTGTTTACCGGCCGTGATTGGCTCTTCCAGGAGATTGACGCATACCTACGCACTGCCCACTGCGCCACTAATCGTGGTGTGGTACTGGTAGGCAACATCGGCTACGGCAAAACGGCCATCATCTCGCGCCTCGTGGCTCTCAGCTGCCATGGCAACCGCATGCGACAGATCGCCTCCGACAGCCCACAGGCGTCGCCAAAACGTAAGGTTTATTACTAGTATATGTGACTTTTGCAAAGTGCACTGACCAAACTTCATATGTTATCTGTCAGCCAATGGTGATTCTGTGCCGCAGTGAACTTTTCTAAAGCTCATTTAGGCAAAAGCTGAAGTGTTTGACTTCTGCTCCAGTCTTTCTCTGTCAACACCAAATGTAATCACAAAAATAATGAATGTAATAATGAATATAATATAATCAACATGGGCTCATTAAAACATATCCCTGTCTATATTTCTGGAAAACTCCAAAAACGTACCTCACCCTTAGTTCACTGCCGTTTCCAGCTGGAATTCACACAAATTATGATTACGGGGCAGAATTAATGAAGACTTATTTTTGTATGATTTCTTGCACAATATGTCATGGCCTCAACACATTTTTACCATAGTGCATGATTTGTAAACAAATATTTTGATGTTTGTATCACATAAGCAGCTCAATATGTTTGGCTTTTCTGATGTAGTAAACTTGCTCGGTAGCGCACCCGGTACAGCATTGCAATTGTGATTGTGATAAATAACTCGAGTACAAATCCCACCTCAGCAAATGAGTTTTCATCTCACGTTTGCTTTTGTTATCACTCTCAATTAGGTTTAGGGTTGAGTTTAGTATAGATGGTATGTTATTATTAAAAACGATTAACCATTTAGTGCTGCTCACTGGACATTTCATTTTCAAACTGCTGCAATATGTACAACAACCAGAGTAATAAAACATTGCCAGAGTTTCATATAAAACTGAACACGCTTTTAGCTCCACTCACTAGACATTTCACTGAAAGTGTCACAAAAAGTGTGCACGAAGCCACGGGTTGAGCCTGGGTTGAGTATAATTCATTGTTTTCATGTGTGGTCAGATGGAGATGGCATCCCTCTCACGCAGCCGCAGCCTTCCCATGGTACACTGGGAGGAGGAAGTTGCCCTGGAACTCCAGAAATGAGGAGGAGACAGGAGGAGGCCATGAGGAGGCTTGCATCACAGGTACACACACACACCAGGGAGTAATAATGCATCAATGCATTGATTTAAGTCATTTAATTACCAATTATAATTTACATAATAATAGCCAATTTGTTTTCTCAGATTACATGCACACTCTTGTTACTATGGAAACCTGTTTCTGCTACGGGATAAATAATAATAGTAAACAAAAGAAAAGTAATTGAGACTTTTTTCAGTCAGAACTGCAAGATATAAACTCAAAAAATGTTCTCACAATTCCAACTTTTATCTTGCCATTTTGACTGAATACAGACTTTTTCTCGGAATTCTGGCTGTACTGTACAACTCACAACTTTGACTTTTTTTCTCAGAATTGCAAGGGAAAAAGTCAGAATTGTGAGCTATAAACTCAGAAATGTGAGGCAAAAAAAAAAGTCAGAATTGCGAGATAAAAAGTCACAATTACCTTTTTAATGTTTGTTATCCCATGATGGAAACAAGCTTCTATACGGTGCAGATACTGAGCTTGAGGGACTAAAGCAAGAACAATTCAATAAAAATAAATAAATACAATTGTAGTAATTAAAATAATAATTATAATAATTTTAATACATTTTACATTTAAAAATATAAAATCAAGAATAATTAATATGCAATTATGTAAAAAAAAAATCACTTTTCATTGTTAAATGCACAGTTAATTGTTATTTTTCAGTTCAAATGTTTATGTTCTGGAATATTTGAAAAATATTTTTATGTTGAAACGTGATTATTTATTCTTAATTTGTATACACTATTCATTGATTTGTTGAAATGTTAATTTTGTGACCCTATTAGATTTAAAAATGCCTCTTATCTAAATGTATGTGACAGAAATCATGTTTCAATTACTGGATTAGTATCTTTATGTTACATGATATATACATCTATTATGCATATTCAACGACATACATACATTCTTCATCCATTTGGTATCAGAAATCAAAGCTGGTTTCTCACTGAAGCTGAAACACACACACACACACACACACAGACGGTTTCCCACATCAATCTTCTCACAATAAATCCTGTTGATCACTTTTCATTGTTAAATGCACAGTTAATTGTTATTTTTCAGTTCAAATGTTTATGTTCTGGAATATTTGAAAAATATTTTTATGTTGAAACGTGATTATTTATTCTTAATTTGTATACACTATTCATTGATTTGTTGAAATGTTAATTTTGTGACCCTATTAGATTTAAAAATGCCTCTTATCTAAATGTATGTGACAGAAATCATGTTTCAATTACTGGATTAGTATCTTTATGTTACATGATATATACATCTATTATGCATATTCAACGACATACATACATTCTTCATCCATTTGGTATCAGAAATCAAAGCTGGTTTCTCACTGAAGCTGAAACACACACACACACACACACACAGACGGTTTCCCACATCAATCTTCTCACAATAAATCCTGTTGACCGTTAGAATTGCTTCTCCTCACACACAAAAGGCCGTCTTAACCTGTGCGGACCTGCTGTTGCGGTCTCAGCTATTGCATTATGCAGATATGTTTAAAAAAGAGAAGTAGGTTTGCCAGTGCGCCTCATAAAATATTTATTCAGGCAGAAAGCAATTTCCTTGCCATGCTATTAGATTTAGTTAAGTCAATGCATTAAAAATCAACTCTCTCTTTCTACCCTTCTGGATGGCTTAAGTCCTTTTAAAACATTTGTATGAGTGAATTAGTATTCTAATATAGTTGATCCTCTCTCTGGCTGTCACAGCCAGGACTCTGCATCTGATCTCTCATTTCTCCATCATCTCCTCCACCTGCGCTGTGCTTTGTGTAGCCTTTGGCTCTCCAAATCTGTCAAATCTGTGCGCCACTGGACCCCTATGACCGGAGCTTTCGCCGTTAAACCATCACACCTCATTAACAGAGTTTGTGGCGCTTGAGAGGATGTTGCTGGTGTTTGTGAATCCTTTCTCTGGAGTCCACAATAATGCACGTCAAACTGAATTATCATGCAGAGATGCAGTAACAGTGGTGTAGCATTTGGAAATGGATGAGACACATTATTTTACACCATAGTAGGAAAACATTGTGGGTTATGTTTTAGCCAACTATGATTACCAAGTTGTTGTTAATTCTCTGGTGTGGTGTGGTTACAGAGGGCTGTGCATTGAACAGGACTAGTTAAAAAGAATGTTTTGTTTTACTTTTTTATTTTTGTTAAATTACATTAAAGTTTGTATTTACTTGTAACATGAGCATGCAGGCTGTAAAATCTTTTCATGTTTTTGAAAGAAGTCTCTTCTGCTCACTAAGGCTGCATTTATTTTAACAAAAAAAATACAGTAAAATCAGTCATGTTGTGAAATATTATTACAATTTAACATAACTGCTTGCTATGTGAATATATTGTAGAATGTAATTTATTCCTGTGATGCAAAGCTGTATTTTCAGCATCATTACTCCAGTCTTCAGTGTCACATGATCTTCAGAAATCATGAAAATATGCTGATTTGCTGCTCTGATTATTATCAGTGTTGAAAACAGTTGTGCTGCTTCATATTTTTGTGGAAACGGTGATGCATTTTATTCTTTGATGAATACTTGACAGAAGTAGAAATCTTTTACAGTCACTTTTGATCATTTTAATGCGCTCTTGCTGAATATAAACACTAATTCCGCTGTCCAAAAAAAATACTAAACCCAAACTTTTAAACACTAGTTTATGTAAATATCATAAATAATATTAGAATTAGTTATTCTATTATAAATAGTAATATTGATATTAACGTGTACAATATTAAAATATTATACATTATAAATAAATATATAAAATCTAAATATGAAATAAACATCAGACTATAGATAGATTCTGTTTTGAATAAGTATTAAATCACAAATAACCCTTACCCTAAATAATACAATACATTCAAATGTGTAATATACTCCACTTTCCTGCATTGCAAACCATGCCGTTTTGAAAGTGAGTTTAGCCAAGAGGTCAATATGTGCCGTTTATATCCTTTATGCACATCAAAGTTCACCGAACTCAACTGAATATATTCAGTAAAATGCAGTAAGCATGAAACTCTTGAGCTTTCGGAAGCGCCATAGGCATCCAGTCTGACTGGAGCACATTACAGTAATTATCTGCCTCTCTCTCGGTAAGTTCTGCTGTATTACGAGCAGCTCTGGGCCCCCTGCTCGGTCTGCTTCACGCTTATTTCAGAAGTGTTGAATAATGAACATCAGGACAGATGAAGGTGAAGTCGGAGTTGGGAAGGTGTCACTACATTGTGCTGATTTCCTGTTGAACACTGTAGCTGTATTCTCAGTGAAAATACAATGCAGCCGTGATTTGTACCTTATTTTCTACTGACGCTTCCAATTTCAGGTGCAATAAGTATTTGCTAGAAACATACTACACTCCAACAATGCTTAAAAGTGCAGATGTCAGCTTTCCACAATATTGCTAACTTCAATGACACGCCCTCTTTCCAAAACTCCGCCCCCCGTTCTCGTCAGCCAACCAGATGTCAGCAATCCCGAATGGGCAAAATGATTGGCAAGCATAAACAGCTCTATACTATAATATTTAAGTTCTGTTTATATTTGCATATGTATTATGTTTGCATTCTATCGCAAAACTTTGCGCAAAAATGTTTTGCTTTCCTCCTAGAAACGTTGTGTTTACTCACCAAACTTTTGCGTTCCCTGAAGAAACTCACAAAATGTTGGATTCCCTCGCAAAACATTTGCGTTCCCACAAGAAAGGTTGTGTTCGCTTGCATTCCTTTGAGAAACTTACGCTACATTTGTTAGCAAAATATTTGCGTTCCCTCAAGCAATGCTGTGCTTGCTTGCAAAACCTTTGCATTCTTTATGAGTGAATGCATGTTTTTTGGGATTTAAAAAAAAGATAAATTATTGAAATATAGTTTTTTCCATCACCATGTGGCTTTAGGGGCTCTGTGGTAAACATCATGTTTCGTGTGGTATTTAGCTGACTACAAAAATGGATTTTAGTCTGAAACACACCACTGTTGGACACTGTTACTTCAGAAAAAAATGCAGATTTGATCGTTTTTGTTATCTTTTTTGTACTCAATTATGTTCTCTCTCTCCTTTAAAAAAAAAAATATATATTTATTTATTTTTTGGTGGTACTACCACTGAAAATGCTGTGTAATCCTCATAACTGAGACAGTTATTTTTTGCCCTTCAAATCAAGTATTAAAGCAGCTGATTAAGCTAATTACTGCTTTAATGGAACCAATTATTTGCACTTGTCTCAAAGATGTGCGTCCCACAGAAACTAATGATAAAAGGCTTGCCATGGCCTCATTCCAATTTGAGGGAGAAAATGTTTGCAATTCTGTGCCACTCAAATCTCTCAGGGGACAAATAAAAATGCACTACAGCCACACAGCATATTGTCTTTCTGCTCTTCATTTGGGGACTGTTGTTTCACATCATAATCAATATTATTAGTAACATTTTATAATTGTTTTGTATTACAGCAAACTGGCGATCGATCAGCACAAATTCTGCAGTCTGGTGTCTCTCTCACCTGTGCTTCTCTTTACCTCCCCCTTCAGGTCGTGGCGTATCACTACTGTCAGGCAGATAACGCCTACACCTGCCTGGTTCCGGAGTTTGTGCACAACGTGGCGGCTCTGCTGTGTCGCTCGCCACAGCTCACCGCGTACAGAGAGCTGCTGCTGAAAGAGCCGCACATACAGAGCATGCTCAGTCTGCGATCCTGCGTCCAAGATCCGCCCACTGCCTTCAGACGAGGGGTGCTCGAACCACTGGATGCACTGTATAAAGGCATGAGAGATCAACAGCCATAAACAAGCACATGAGTGGATTAATCAAGAGTTTGTGTTTATATCTTTAAAGGAATAGTTCATCCAAAAATGAAAATTGTTGAACATTTTGTTACCCTTAGATCATCTAAGATGTAGTTTGTTTCATCATCACAACAGATTTGGAGAAATGTAGCATTGCATCACTTGCTCACCAATGGATGCTCTGCAGTGAATGGGTGCCGTCAGAATGAGAGTCCAAACAGCTGATAAAAACATCACAATAATCACAAAAAATCAGCACGACTCCAGTCCAACATTTAACATCTTGTGCAGCCAAAAGCTGCATGTTTGTAAGAAACAAATAAATTTTTTTTTACTTTAAACAGTTGCTAGTCCTCTTTTCATAATATTGTTTTCTCCAGTGAAAAAGTCATCTCGTCTGAATCAGGAGAGAAATATGCACAGATCAAGCACAGTTTACAAGCCAAAACAGCTCTAAATAAATATGCATGGGGATTTTGATATGAGGACTTTTGGACTTTTTCACTGGAGGAAGTGTTATTATAGATTATGGACTCCTATTAAAAACGTCTTAATGATGGATTAGTTTCTTACAAATATGCAGCTTTTCACTTCAGAGGATGTTAATCGGTGGACTGGAGTGGTGTGGATTATTGTGATGCTTTTATCAGCTGTTTGGACTCTCATTCTGACGGCACCCATTCACTGCAGAGCATCCATTGGTGAACAAGTGATGGAATGCTACATTTCTCCAAATCTGTTCTGATGAAGAAACAAACTCATTTACATAATGGATGGCCTAAGCGTGGCTACATTTTCAGCAATAAATAAATAAATAAAATAATAATTTGGGGGTGAACTATTCCTTTAATGTACAATAGATGCAGAAATGTAATTCAAAAGATTTACTGCATGTGTAAAAGTTTGTATGTTGTTGTTTTTCCTCAGAGAGGAAGATCACTCCTGATGAAGACCTCATCATTCTCATCGATGGTCTGAATTTTGGACTTTTTCACTGGAGGAAGTGTTATTATGGATTATGGACTCCTGTTAAAAACGTCTTAATGATGGATTTGTTTCTTACAAATATGCAGCTTTTCACTTCAGAGGATGTTAATCGATGGACTGGAGTGGTGTGGATTATTGTGATATTTTTATCAGCTGTTTGGACTCTCATTCTGACGGCACCCATTCACTGCAGAGCATCCATTGGTGAACAAGTGATGGAATGCTACATTTCTCCAAATCTGTTCTGATGAAGAAACAAACTCATTTACATAATGGATGGCCTAAGCGTGGCTACATTTTCAGCAATAAATAAATAAATAAAATAATAATTTGGGGGTGAACTATTCCTTTAATGTACAATAGATGCAGAAATGTAATTCAAAAGATTTACTGCATGTGTAAAAGTTTGTATGTTGTTGTTTTTCCTCAGAGAGGAAGATCACTCCTGATGAAGACCTCATCATTCTCATCGATGGTCTGAATGAGGCTGAGTTCCACAAACCAGACTATGGTGACACGATTGTGTCTTTCCTCTGTAAGACCATTAACAAGTTCCCAGCCTGGCTCAAACTGGTGGTGACTGTCAGAACCTCCCTGCAGGTAAACACACAAACACACTATGACTGTTAATATGTCTCATTCTCGCACAACGACAGCTCGGATTTCTACCATATAAATATTTAAATAAAAGAATCATTGCACATTTCCAATATTTGAAATATATACAAAAAAATACAGTACCGTTCAAAAGTTTGGGGTCAGTAATATATTTGAATATATTTATTATATTTTAATATCTATTTTAATATATTTTAAAACTTGTGATTAAAGCTGAATTTTCAGCATCATTACTCCAGTCTTCAGTGTCACATGATCCTTCAGAAATCATGAAAATATGCTCAGAAGGTCATCATGGCGGCTTTTTTTATTTTTTATTTTTGCCCCCACATTTTGAATTTCATGGATATTTTTGTCTGTTTCTGTGACATTTTTGTCTGTTAATTTCTATGTTAATTTCTCACCCTGGAATGATGACATATGAATTTATGTTTTGAGTTGAAAATCAGTGGAAAAACTGAACATTTTGAAATTTTACATTATAAATACGTATTTCTTGCATTGTTAGATTATTGATTTGCATGTTAACTTCTAAAATAGGCTTTTATAAAGAGCTCATTTTTGTTGTACCTATAAATGCACTTATTACAAAAATTGATCAATTTTGAGTATTTAATACATAAAAAAATCGTAAACAAACTAGGTTGAAATTTTAAGATGCCAAGTCAAAATAATGACTTGATGTGACTTAACATTTAAAAAAAAAAATTTTTGGTACATTTTGCATCAAAAAGCACAAAATAATAAAAGCTTGAATTTACTGATCTTACCTCTTTCTTCCAGGAAATCACCAAACCTCTGCCCTTCCACCAAATCTCTCTGGACGCCCTGGAGGAAAATGACGCCATCGACCACGACCTCCAGGGCTACATCCTGCACCGCATCCACAGCAGCGCAGAGATCCAGAACAACATCTCCCTCAACGGAAAGATGGACAACACCAGCTTCGGCAAGCTCAGTTCCCACCTCAAGGCCCTCAGCCAGGGCTCTTTCCTCTACCTGAAGCTCACCTTTGACCTGATCGAACGCGGCTACCTGGTGCTCAAGAGCACCAACTACAAGGTGGTCCCAGTCAGTCTAGCTGAAGTTTACCTTCTGCAGTGTAACATGCGCTTCCCGACACAGTCGTCCTTCGAAAGGGCCCTGCCGCTGCTCAACGTGGCCCTGGCCTCCCTGCACCCGCTCACCGATGAGCAGATCTACCAGGCCATCAACAGCAGCTCAGTGAAGGGCACGCTGGAATGGGATGACTTCCAGCAGAGGATTGAGAACCTGTCTGTGTTCCTGGTGAAGAGACGGGATGGGACACGCATGTTTGTGCACCCTTCTTTTAGAGAATGGCTCATATGGAGAGAAGAGGGAGAGAAGACCAAGTTCCTCTGCGATCCCAGGTCTGACAAAATGCACTGAAATACCAAATACGAGTAAAAATGGGCTTTGTCTAGTGAAAAAGAATAAATGATCAAACTGTCCTGCTCACAAAGAATGTTTAAAACAGCCTAAGATGGTTTGCTGGTGTTGGCTGGCTTACCAGCCTGTGTTTTGCTGGTTTTGAAGTGGTTTTGGGCACATAGATTAACCAAACCATCTAAAGACAAGCTTAGTCAAGGTGGGAGTTTGTTGAGATCTGCACAAGTAAAATTAATACCATCTGTCCATAAGGAACAAACCCATTCAATCTAAAAAATACATTTTTAATTAAACAGACACACATTTAGCTGTAAAGCAGGATAAATGCAAGTTTAAAAAACTCAAGACATGTTTTATTTAATATATACGTATGTATTAAAACTAGTTTATGTATGCACCAATATGTCAATACATACGAATTAGAGGACAATCGATATTGGATTTTGCTAATACAATAATAATGTGCCTAAAGACAGGCAATAAAAATATATTGTGCCAACACTTGTAAAATCTATATATTGAATCAAAGTCATGGTTATTATTGTTAACTAAAAATAAAGCTATAAAAGAAACATTTTCATTAATTGAAATAAAATATGCATTTTATTTGACCTAGTTTGCAACATTTTTGTTTAGTTTAAGTTGAAGTACTAAATTAACTAAAACTAAATAAATAATATAGATACAAACACAAATTACCTAAACTTTAACAAAATTTAAAATGGAAAAAAACGAATAAAAGAAAAATGTATAAGTATGTCAATATTACTAAACAACAGTGATCAATGTGTTAAATCATGTTTTAGTCTCTCTTTCCTGTGGCGGGGCAGCCCGTCATCACCTTTTGACATTTTACAATTGCACTAGAACGGATCACAATTCCTGTTTTTCCCTTCCCAAATTTAAGACCTCCTAAATAATAATTAAGAATTTTGTAAGATTTGCATTCATGCATTTATTCAAAGTGACTTACAACAGAGGAACAAAAGCAATTCATCACAGAGCCAACAATATACTGTACATGTTATATCATTTAAGATATTCTTAGACTTTCTATGGTGTTAAATCTCATCAAACTGAATTTAATTGACATTTTAATCTGAGAAGCAGATTATATCTTCAGGGTTTTGTGACAGGTGCAGTTTCACTGTGAAGTATTTTAGATTACCTTACGTGTATTTTTGGCTTGTTTTTTAAGGAATGGCCACACGCTTCTGGCTTTCTGGTTCTCCAGACAAGAAAACAAACTAAATAGACAGCAGACAATTGAGTTGGGTCACCATATACTGAAAGCACACATATTCAAGGTAAGAGTGTCATGCAAGTATGTGTTAGCAGATCGCCATAATGCCTGTATTTTACAGGTAAAGCTTTCATGCATTAAGGCTTTTCGTCTCATTTTCTCATCATACTGTAGGGCCTGAGTAAGAAGGTCGGAGTTTCTTCATCCATCTTGCAAGGGCTGTGGGTGTCATACAGCACAGAGAGTTTATCAGCAGCTCTGTCATCGCTCAGAAACCTTTATACACCTAACATAAAGGTACTGCTCAAATGTACAGATCTTACATTTGTTTCTTGCTCCACAGCATTAGATTGATTTTTCTGCTTTCATTTTCTGTAGGTGTCCCGGCTGCTGATATTGGGTGGTGCTAATGTGAACTACCGTACAGAGGTGTTGAACAACGCTCCGGTGCTGTGTGTGCATGCTCACCTGGGCTACGTGGACATGGTGAACCTGCTGCTGGAATACGGTGCCAGTGTAGATTCAACATCTGAGAGCGGCCTCACTCCTCTGGGCTACGCCGCCGCCGCTGGACACCTGGGCATAGTTACCGCTCTCTGCAAGAGGAAAGCAAAGGTACAAGAGTGTCTGACATTCGTAAATCACCATATATATATATATATATATATATATATATACACCTGTATATACAGTATATATGCACAATAATTGTTGTCGGGTTTCTATGATTGAGCACTCAATAATGAAAAACCTGTAATGAAACTATAGCTACGGTCAAACTTCCCATTAAATATGAAATTATGTTTAATATTAAATTATAGCTAGCTGTAAGCTATAATCAAAAATGAATAACTGCATTGACGCTACTTACAGTGTTGTTTGAAAGTCCACTTGTAAAAATGCTTATGTTTTCTCAGCTTTGTATATTTCTTGCTATAGAACATATATGTAAACACATAAATTAAGATTCTATATACACTAACGTTAAAACTTTTAGGCTGGTAAAAAAAATTATTAAAAAATGAATGCGTAAAGAAGTCTCTAATGATCACAAGGGTGCATTTATTTGCTCAAAATTACAGTAAAAAAACAATAATATTGTGAAATATTAAAAATAACTGTTTTCTATCTGAATATATTTTAAAACGTAATTTATTTCTTTGATGCAAAGCTGAATTTTCAGCATCATTACTCCAGTCTTCAGTGTCACATGATCTTCAGAAATCAGTATAATATGCCGATTTGCTGCTCAAGAAACTTTTCTGATTATTATCAATGTTGAAAATCAGTAATATTCTTGTGAAAACCGTAATACATTTGTATTTTTTAGGAACCTTTGATGAATTAAAAGTTGAAATCAATATCTTTTGTAACAACATAACTGTCTTTACTGTCACTTTTTATACATTTAATGCATTCTTTTCTTTCTTAAAAATTTTTTGCTTATCCCAAACTTTTAAATGGTACTGTACATTTAAATAAAGAAAGAAATCTTTAAAAATGATTTTTTTTTACTTCACAAAATTTGTGACTACTAGATCTTCCCCTGAAGTGCAAATATTTTAGTGCCCAGTACCTTGTAAAATGCACTTTGGTTGCCTGTGGGACTGATAAAAATCCATCCAGGATTCACAGAATTTGCATAAAGCCAGTCAATCAGACTGGAGTTTATGGTTTAGTCGGTTTCTTTAATTAAAAGTTGAAATCAATATCTTTTGTAACAACATAACTGTCTTTACTGTCACTTTTTATACATTTAATGCATTCTTTTCTTTCTTAAAAATTTTTTGCTTATCCCAAACTTTTAAATGGTACTGTACATTTAAATAAAGAAAGAAATCTTTAAAAATGATTTTTTTTACTTCACAAAATTAGTGACTACTAGATCTTCCCCTGAAGTGCAAATATTTTAGTGCCCAGTACCTTGTAAAATGCACTTTGGTTGCCTGTGGGCCTGATAAAAATCCATCCAGGATTCACAGAATTTGCATAAAGCCAGTCAATCAGACTGGAGTTTATGGTTTAGTCGGTTTCTTTGCTTTTGCAGTTCGCATCAGACCATGCAGAATGATATTTATGTGCATGTCTGTCCTCTCCTTAGCTCGACCACTTGGACAAGCATGGTCAGTGTGCCCTAGTGCATGCTGCTCTTAGAGGACATCTGGAGGTGGTGAAGTTCCTCATTCAGAGCGACTGGGGTCAGATGCACCTCCAGAGCCCCTCCCCTACACAGTCACAGGACACGCCCTCCCCCACGCCACCAGATGCCACGCCCTCTCCCACACAAGCCACGCCCCAGGAGTCACAGCCCTCCAGCCCTGAGCGACAGGACGACGCAGCGGAGGCGCCGCAGGAGTCCGAGCAGAAGGTAGAGGAGCAGGAAGAGACTCCAGAAGAGTCCGAACAACAGACGCAAGCGGACGCACAGACTCAGCAGCAGACATCGCCACAGCCTGTGACCTTCAACAAGAGCGTGGCAGTACAGCAGGCCCTTATAGCAGCAGCCAGCATGGGTTACACAGAGGTAACGGCCTGTTGGTGTCACACAATTCCTTGCATGCTCCTTGCTCATATAGCTACTAACTGTATCTGTGTCTTTAAGATTGTGTCTTATCTCTTGGACTTGCCTGAGAGGGATGAAGAGGACACTCAACGCGCCCAGATTAACAGCTATGATACCCTGTGGGGTGAGACAGGGAGAGCTCCACTTATATAGGATTTTTTCAATGTAAGCTCCCTGCATAGACAGCTGCCTACTGAGGCAGCATCCTAACTGGCATGGCAGGGATGCAGGGATGCACCAAAATGAAAATTCTGGGCCCGAACCGAAACTGAAACTGCTTTGTAATAATTGTTTATTATTTTATTAAATAATATTAAGTAATTTTGTAAGACTTTTTAACCTTTGTCAGAGAGTGAATGTGCATTTTTAGCATAATTTCACAAAGCTGAAGTCAGACCACTCTGTTTGCTTTAAGTCTTGTAATTGTACAATCTACTTGAAATAAAAAATAACATGCTCATGCTACATGTATGTAGCATCTTTGTTTGGACTGTGATTAAAATGCAGTGGTTGTTCTAATTTCAAATGGCTACAGATTTTTTTGAAGGCCAATTCAGCCTGTAATAGAGCAAATAAACAGCTTGTTCATGTAGTCTTTCATTCTTTCTTGTCTCTTGCTTAAATTAAAAAAATCAGCTATCGGTATCAGAATCAGCCCATTTGCTGACAATCGGAATCATCCATGAAAAAACATAATCGGTGCATCTGTAGTTTTTTGTAGATAGCCTTCTGGTTGGTTTTCTCAAACAGTCATAACTTTGACTTTTAACAGCAAGTCAAGAGCGAATGAGTACACTGGTCCACTTAAACTGGTAAACACAGTAGGTATGCACACATAAACACACACAGTGTTAGTGTGTACCTGGTATTCCCTACGTTATGGGGTTCAAATGTGTGTGTGTGCGGACAAAAAGATAAAGGTACAAAACTGTGAGGGAAAGCATTCCGAATGAAGATCGAATTAAAAATGATTGATAAATATAAGAGTACATATATACAGAATACATACATTTTATTTATATATGTACATAAATTATATATATATAGGGAGAGCGTGGTGAGTTGAGCCAATTTTTACTTGCGGTGTGATTAAAGTGAGCACATGACAGTAATGGGTCCAACTTAAATATGTACATAAATTTCAGGATGTGGTGCATGCTTGGGAATAATAAATTTGGATCCAAAATAAACAGATTTTAAAATATGGCTTTCCAAAAAAAAAAGGCTATCTTGGCTCAACTTGCCCCCATTGAGGGGTAAGTTGAGCCACATGGAGTTAAACTGTGCCACTGATTATGCTGAAGTAAAACTGAACATTTTCACCTCATGCTATATCAAAGGAAGAGAAATTCATCAAAAAATGGCTTATTAAAATCTATGTGTGAGCCTTGTGATGGACTGGCCATCCATGCACCTGTGGCTCTAGACGCTGGGTTAGGATCCAGCTCCCCGTGACCCTGATAAGGACAGAGAGGTTTGGATAATAGAATAGATGGATGGAATAGACTTCTTAAAAGTTTTATTTAAAGATACAGTTCACAACTTTGAAGGCATTTTTAAAAATTATTTTAAAAGTTCAGAACAAAATAAAGTTCAAATTGAACAATAAAAAAGTCACTGCAATTGACCTTACAGAACTGGGCTAACAGTACTCAACATCCCACTTATAAATGTTGCAGGGACATACAATTTCATAAAACTTCAACGGCCAATTTTCATAAACAAGGCCTATTTAAAATTTACAGAACAAAATCAAGTTCAAAACAAAGAACAACACATTCCAGGAAAGAAAACGTTTCATAAACCATATATAAATAATGTTTTTGTGCTAAATCTTTGAAAACATTATTAAACACTAGAAAATGTTCTGTTTATGTTACTAGAAGAATGGTTGTTCGTAACATTGAGAGAACCTAAGCAGAACGTTAGCCAGTGTTCTGAGAATGTTCTCTGTTTGCTGGGTGTCATGATTGACAGCTCCCTCCTGCTCTTCTCCTCAGCGCTGTCAGCAGCAGCAGGCCGGGGAAAGCTGGAGGTTTGTCGGCTGCTGTTGGAGCAGGGCTCTGCTGTGGCGCAGCCCAACCGGAGAGGAGTCGTGCCGCTCTTCAGCTCTGTGCGTCAAGGGCACTGGCAGGTAATTGATAAAGACTTGTTTTCCTGCTTTATTTTTGAAAGATAGAGAGTGTGTCTACATGTTTCAGCTGTACACTCTCTTTCAGATTGTGGATCTGTTAGTGTTGCATGGGGCAGATGTAAACCTGGCTGATAAACAAGGCCGTACTCCACTCATGATGGCCGCCTCAGAAGGGCACCTGGACACGGTGGAGTTCCTAATGGCTCAGGGTACATGATATACACCTTTATGGCACAAAAGCACTGTTTAATGAGGTTTGCATCAGATATACCTCATATCTTATGTTTATTTGTAGGTGCATCTATGGATCTAATGGATAAGGAGGGTCTGACTGCGCTCAGCTGGGCATGTTTGAAAGGACACCTGCCTGTGGTTCACTGCTTGGTGGAAAGGGGTGCAGCGACAGACCACACTGATAAAAATGGACGAACGCCTCTCGATCTGGCTGCCTTCTATGGAGACTCAGAAGTGGTGAGCGATATTTCAGTTAGCTTGGCATTTTTGGGTTAGGTTTCCAAAGTTTTTCTTGACTTGGTTTATCATGGTATTGATTTAATAAATTGTTATATAAGAAAACATTGCAAACTATTAAAAACCTTTACAAAACTAAATAAAGTACAATTGCATTTTTATGAAATTCTTAAATTTATGTTTAAATTAATATAGTGGGTTAACAAATTAGGCTCTATGAACAGCTTAGGTGGAGTGCTGTGGTATACCACAGAAAATCATTTCTACTTGTTTTTTTTATTTTTTATGAAGCTGCAAAAAATATGTTGGTCCAGTAACAGTGAACTTTCACTTCCCCTTTTACTTCTACTGTAAGTGTAGATCTGTCCACTGTGTTTGTTTTTACAAACCAAGAAAAGAGTCTTTAGAGATTATTTTCTGTGCTAATCCACAGCAGTTTGTACCTACACTTCAATATGTTTAATGTATGCATGATGAAAAGCTAAAAATGATTCTTATTTCCTCCATTACTGAGTCTCTTTCTTCTCTCTGCTTTTTTTCTGTCTCAGGTGCAGTTCCTGGTGGATCATGGGGCTTTGATCGAGCATGTGGACTACAGTGGGATGCGTCCTCTGGACCGGGCAGTCGGCTGCAGAAACACATCAGTGGTGGTCGCCCTGCTGAAGAAAGGAGCCAAAATCGGTATGACAAATTGCATGCAACTAAACAATCAGATTGATGGCTTAAAGGAACACTCCACTATTTTTGAAAATAGACTCATTTTCCATCTCCCCTAGAGTTAAACAGTTGAGTTTTACCATTTTCGAATCCATTCAGCCGATCTCCGGGTCTGGCGGTAGCACTTTTAGCTGTAGCTTAGCATAGATCATTGAATCTGATTAGACCGTTAGCATCTCGCTCAAAAAACCTATTTAAAACTTGACTCTTCTGTAGTTACTTCGTGTACTAAGACTGACGGAAAATGAAAAGTTGCGATATTCTTGGCCGATATGGCTAGGGACTGTACTCTCATTCCGGCGTAATAATCAAGGAATTTGGATTCAAAAATGCAGCACATGCAGTGCTGTGATGCATATATTTACATACGTATTGCAAAGTGCCTCTTTATTTTAATATTTTTGCTTATGAACTGGTCAGTGGAGCAGAATAACTATTTGCTAAAAAGCTCTTCTGACATATACGTCAGCTTTTCAAATAAATTATTAGCGGGTAATTAGCAGACAGTCTACTAATACTTTAGTTGACATGTACTTATAGTAGGGGTGTGCCTGAAGCCGAATACCTTATTTGGAAAGACATGGATAATGGCTTCAAAACGAATAATTATGCCGAATAATATTCGGCTGAGGCTGACACAGTCACTTCTCGTGTTTGCTGGATTACAGGTGATCCCAGGGAAAGTACGATATTATACACAACCTCTAAAACCACTACGCAATAATGAGTGTGTGAAGTGAATGAGTGTAAGCACTATGAATGAAAGGAGTGCCAATCAAATAGCCGCACTGCTTTGTCCTCTCCATGTGGCTCTCAGAAATCAGCTCGGCAAGAGTAAATAATCTAAATACCACATCATACACATGTTCTACTATCTGATATGTATATTTAAATGATTTAAATCTTGTACGATCTTACTCAGTACACAGTGTTGTATATATTCTTCTTATTTTACTTGTATTAACATTTATTATTACTGTTTTAATTAGAACTTTTTAATCACGAAAGGTCCCCAAGCTACAAAGAAAAAAGATAGGCTGTAAAACCATAGACAATTGTACGAACTTCAAGATAAAACCTCACCCATTTCCGAATACAGATACAGATACGAATAATTTTGAGATTGATAGAGATACAGATATTGGCTCCACTGCATACCCCTAACTTATAGTTAGTCAAATGTAAAAAGTGGACTGTCAAAATACCTGATGCATGTGTAAACGAATATGTGAAATCAGACTGGATTGATTCCGACTGACAATTAGTGCCAGTGTTAATGTGGCTCAGGCATTGCCCATATTGTAGAAACAAAACGTCTCTATAAGCAAAGTAAAACCAGAAAACACCTACCAGCCAACAACTGCCAAAAAGAAAACGGCTTAGGGGAGATAAATTAACATTAGCTTGTTCTACAAGAATAGAAATCACTGGAAAGTCCCCATGTATGTGTATGTGTTTTCATGTAGCTCAGCTGCTCTAGCATTCTGCTGCACTGTGCTTTACTTCACTTACTCCAGCTGCTCATGGTTAATGCGTCTTTTTGTTTGGGGTGTTTGCATTTGTTTTCACTTGCAACCTGTTTCTCTTGCTCTGTTGCTCTTTCTCTTTACTGCCTTTCTCGCTCTGTTTGTTAATTCAATTGTTGGTAAGAGGTAGTTTAACGTTGTTAGTGCTGGTGTTGTTTTGCTGTTTTACTTTTAATTTCTAATTCTTTAGCTGGAGCTCTTTTTCCCCACCACTCACGGCTGCTTTTTTGTGTTCCCCCTCACCTTTCTTCCACGACCACTGCATTACTCTTAACTTCCTCTTTCTCCCACTCTCACTTTCACTCTCCTACACACACGCCACTCTCATTACCACCTATGGTTGTGCCACTCACCCCATCTTATTCTCCCGCAACCCCGATCCTCATTCCCTCGCTCTCACAACCCCTGACTTCCGACCACAGGATGTCAGACACTGCCAAGTCGGCATAAAGGAGGTAATGCTTGTGCTCGGGCTGCTTGCATCTTGCTTCCCTTCAGGCATCCTGACAGCTCTCTGTTCTGTGTGCAGTGGCGTGCACTGTTTGGGTGCTGCAGGTTTGACTGGCACTGTAAACTGTCCTGAAGTGTTAAAAATGAAAGGTTACAGGGAATGAGAACTTGAGTTCACCCTGAAGGCATCCTCATCCTGTTGTCCTCTCCTTCATCTGTTTGTTATGATTCCTGAGCGCTCTGCACTCCTCCGTCTTTCTCTCCATGTTTTCCCTTCAAACCAGTTGTTCATTTTGACCCATCAAACATCCTGTTACCCATAGGTCCTGCTACCTGGGCAATGGCGACATCTAAACCTGACATCATGATTATCCTACTGAGTAAACTTTTAGAGGAAGGAGATGGCTTCTACAAGGTCAGATTTACTCAAAATGTACCTCTGATGTTTGCACAGATTTGCCTAGAACAAAGTCCTAGACTCTGTGTATTTACACAGTCAATCATCTTTTCACTTACAGAAGGGTAAAGTGAAGGAGGCAGCTCAGCGCTACCAGTATGCTCTGAAGAAATTTCCCCGAGAAGGATTAAGTGAGGACCTGAAGACCTTTAAGGAGCTCAAAGTGTCTTTGTTCCTGAACTTGTCTCGCTGTCGGAGGAAAATGAATGTGAGAACAACATGAATGTTTCTAAAAATACTCTTTGCAAGGTGTCATTCTAGCACAATGTAAGATTCCGCTTATAAATCTTGTGTGATGCTGTAATATTGTAACTGCAGTATGCAGCATGTCGTGAGAACCTTGCTGATATATGTCTAGTACAACTGGGCAAACTAATGAAATGTCAACCCCCAAATTACAAAAATGAAATAGATTTGACTGAACACACTTTCTTGGTTCCAGGACTTTGGTATGGCGGAAGAGTTTGCTACCAAGGCTCTGGAACTGAAGCCTAAGTCTTATGAGGCATTCTATGCTAGAGCCCGTGCCAAGCGTAGCAGCAGGTAGGGTTCTTCCATTATTTTCTTTCCTTACGGATCAAGTTACTTAAGGGTGGCTTAATATTTCCATTGCCGCTTTATAGGCAATTCGCTGAAGCACTAGATGACCTGAGGGAAGCCATAATGCTGTGTCCCAACAATCGTGAAATCCAGCGTCTCCTTCAGCGCGTGGATGAGGAGTACAGGCAAGTTACCCAATCAGAGGAGCCAGAGCTTGAGCCTCCTCCATCCCCACCACCATCTCCCTTACCAGTGGAGGAAGATGAGGAGCCCCCTCATCATACCCCTCCCCCTGAGCCAAGACTGGATGACATGGAGCCTGTCCAAGACTTGTTTGAGGATGATGACTTCCTGGAACAAGAGCTAGAGGCTGTGTCTATTGGTCTTGCTTCTGATATTCGCTCGAATGCTTCGAGCCTTGCCATTATACGTAGTCCACCCCTTTCTCCGGGCCATCATGACACTGGCTACCTATCTGGAGGGCAGGCCTTTGAGTTCCACCCAAGCTCCTCCTCCATGTCATCTCCTACCCATCATAGTTACCAGTCCACCTCCCCGTGTATCTCTCCAACACATCAGAACTCCCACTACCACCAGAGTCCACCCCACACCTCGCCAGCCCATCAGTCCTCCTACCGGTTCAGCCCTCCACCCATGGGCAGTGGAGGGAACCAGGGGATGGACTACCAGAGTCCTCCGCCATCTCCTCTTAGGCGTGGGGTTCCATTCAGAGGTAGCCCTCCAATTGAGAGTGTGTGTCTATATCGTTCCCAGTCTGGCTCTCCAGTCCGCTACCAACAGGATCCTTTACCAAGCCGCCCTAAATCGCCACTGTTGAAGATGAGCAGCCAGCGATCCTTCCAACTCCAGTCGCAACCTTCCCAGAGCTCTCAGACCAGTCAGCACCACCAGGTTCAGGGTCTTCGCCTGCAGCCCTCTATGGCACAGATCGTCCGCACTAACCAGCCCAGTAACAGTATGTACAGCCAGTTGGCACATCCACTCAGCAGTAGGTACCAGGGCAGTTCTATGGATGTGGACAGGGAGAGAGATCGAGAGCCAAGGCTGGTGTACCAGCCCTCATTGGATGGCCGGTCAATGTCTCAAGTGCAATCCAGCCTTAGTGTGGGAGCTCTGTGTCAGCATGGGGGCCGAGGTGGGCCTGCTGGGGTTTTGGAGTCAAACTTGGGGAAAGATGAGATCCCTCAGCGTCCTGCTTCAGCCTATCGTTCAGCTACAGGGGGACCCGGAGGCATGCGCTTCAGCCAAACCCCCCAGATAAGCCGTAGTCAGTCAGCTGCATACTATCCTGTCTCCAAGCATGAACTTGAGAGAGCAGTGGCAGCCTCTGTTCTGCCACCATGCCAACTGGGCTCTCCAGAGATCCCCCACCTAGTGCGCAGACCTATCAGTGCTAATACAAGTGACCTAAAACATGTATCGACCCCCAGACCACTGATCCACTCCCAGAGTGTAAATCTTCGCTTCTCCCCATCTAGCAGTAATATCTCCTCAGGTTCCAGCTGCAATCTCGCCCCTGGCTTCAGGCCTTCCTCCTCCATGGCCCAAATGGAAATTCCGCTGCAGGCTGCATATGAACGAAGCTTTGACGAGCCATCTACCCTCTCACCCTCTCAGAGCGGACTGTACTCGGGTGAGCCCGCCCGATCCCGGACCACTCCATTTATGGGCATCATTGACAAGACCGCAAGGACTCAGCAGCAGTACCTTCACCAGCCTTCCCGGGCCTGGCCTGTGTCATCTCTGGAATCGGTTATCACTAGCCCCACGTCGCCTGGTAATTTGATCCACCAAGCCTCCACAGCTTCCTCCTACAGCCCACCTACATCTCTAGGCAATATTGCCTACTACAATAAGACCAATAATGCCCAAAATGGACACATGCTAGAGGAAGAGTACTATGCCCAGCCGCAGCCATCCTCCCTGGGCAAGCTTGCCAATGGAGGAGCCCGTGATCGAGACTTCCTGGAGCGAGTGAGCCAGGCACCAACGTACCAGGATGTTAAGGTGGCACGGACAATGCCCGTGGCACAGGCGTACCAGGAGAACATGTACCGCCAGCTTTCCCGTGATGCCAGACAAGGTCCCACCTCGCCCATCAAACCAAAGAGACCCTTTGTGGAGTCAAATGTTTAACAGGCACCCAAAAGGGTGGGCACAAAGGTGTGAGTGACAGTGAATGTTTGTGTCAGGTCTTACGTAAGGGACTGTGTAGGTGCAGGTTATTAAAGCCAGTATTTCAAGTAGATGAAACTGCACAGGAGAAATACTTTTAATTAACTAAAAAACAGTGTTACAAATACCTGTGTACAAATACATGTGCCTACTTTAGGTCAACTCAATCTGTTGGTAAAAACTCAGACAGCACCCTTTTGGAGTATTAGAATACAGTATGTTAAAGTAAATGTTCTTTAAAGCTCTGCACATTATATAAGAAAGCACATTTATTGACGTTCCACAGCAGAGGCCACATACAGAGGAATAGTGTGTCTTGCCATTGTTCCCAGCACTAAAGCGGATATGAAACTGGCAATCTATGTGTTGAACGCATTCCTTCCTCACCTAATCCTACTCTCTCTCTTCCCAACGAACCTAAACAGATTTGCTAGGCTTTCTGAACATAACATTGTTGAATTGTTCAATACTGTAAAAAGTGAAAATCTGATTCAGAAAAACTAAGTTGTAGTTATAGAAGGAAAAGAGGAATATTTATAATTAAGTTATATGATGTATAGAAATATTAAAGCGGATTTTGTGTCAGGTTTATTTTGTTTTCTCTTTAATTTTGTATCTATTGATTTGGACTTTTGGAAATGGTATCAGATATTTTCAAAATAATGATTCAGAGTTTATTGACTGGAGATTATTATCTTTACAGTTATTACCTTACAGTTCTGACTCCCGAGCAGGAATATTGCTTGTGTCAAAATTCACAGATGTAGAGTGGCAATAATATAAGTTCAAAGCACTTTCGTGGGAATAAGCTTAATGTGATTTTCAAGTAACCCTCGCATTTTGTGGATATCGCTAAGTCTTTATTTACAAAATTAAAAAATTATTTACAAAGTACTGGAGTGCCAATCCAGACGTATTTCAAGTGGAGGAATGTATCACACCATAGACGTCTTATGAACTCTACAGTATGTATACTACGCAACACAAAGTTTCAGGGGCGTTTGCAAGATAGTAATAGAATTTCTTCTCTTTTTTTCAGTTTCTTTATTGTTCTAAGAAGCGTCAGTATATCAAGTGAAGTATGTTTGTTTTAACTTTTAAACTTTTATTCGTAACTTTGGTCTGCACTGACTGTCTGTGCATTATGAAGAAAGAGAGCACTTTATTCATTTGTAAGGATTGTATGGAATGTGAATATTGAGGGGCTGGAGATGTTTTTTGTTGTTGTTGTGTTGTTTAGTTTTTTTGGATCTGGGACGGGACGTCCTTACTAACAAACGTTCGGTGAACACTGGAAAATAACCTGTGATTAGCTGTACTACTAGAAAACAAATAGCAGTTATTGTCCTTGGTGCAATTCTAATTTTTCAAGCAAATGAATGAACAATAATATAAAAGAGCAAAATTATGTTTTTAAAAAGATATTAAAAAGTGTATATAACAGCCTTTATAGAGCGCAGTGTACTTGCTGTATATAGTGGCCAAATGTGTTCATGCATACAAAATCCTGCTCTCCTTTGCAAATGCGTCGCTAAATGCAGCGTGACAAAGACTTGATGAGCCTCACATGTCAAAAACAGTTCAGTGGCGTCACACACTACCGAAAAGTAAACCAGCTGTTTTGAAATAGTGTATTTGTCGTGTAAAAATACAATATTGAGCTAGTTCCTTTTGAGGTCCTCTGCTTCAGAATGCGATAGTATTAACATGCGGAGCTTAAATGTGGCTTTGGTCAGATCTTCTCAAAAATACAGTATATGGACCGGTATCTAGACAGCTTGTCTTAAAGGCAACCATACTCACCTTCCTATTGCTGTAAGTGTGAAAGCTTGAATCGAGAAATGCCTCATGGTCAACTTTGGGGAAAAGCTAAATAAAGAACACTTGAGAACACAGGACTCTGATGTGGGCTTGTCAAGAGCCTCTTTAGGGTGGTGTGGTTTTTCAGTGCAAGTTATTTTTGCTGTACATAACCTGACGCATGATTTATCCCCCATTCACCTCTGAATTCGACATACACAGACATTCGTGAATCTGCCATATGTCTCCAATAGAAGAACTAAACAGAAATAAAGTTCACAACCGACGAAAAAAGAAATCTCACACTCATCTCCACCAAACTCAACAGTAGAGACGTGACATTTACCTCTGAAGGGTTTGGCCATTCTTTTTATCTTTCAGTTGGATTTGAGTTGATTTTCATGCACTTGCTTGCTAAGCAGAGTTTCTCGTCTGTAAATGTGAGCTTTCAGAGCGCTGTGATAACGTTTAATGACTTCAATAAACCAGAAT